TAGGGGTTGCCATTTGAAAAAAAAAAGTTGGGGGCCCCCCGCGCCCCCCCTGGGGGGGACCAAAATTTTGACCCCCCTAAAAGATGGTCCCCTTTGAGATAGGAACATTCCCAAAGTTTCATTACCCTAGCTCAATTCGTTCAAAAGTTAGCAGGGGTGGGACGGACGTTTGGTACACCCTGTATTAGCACCTACAAGACTGCATGAATACTTCACGCATTGCGCCAAACACGGTGCGGTCGGCGCGGCGGCGGAAGTTAAAATCATTAAACCAAATTTTGTGTTTGTACTTCCATAATTTTTTCGTTCATTTCTTATGAATGGAAGGCCTTGTCCATTAGAGATAGGTTTACGAAACTTGACTTTCGCGCAAAGTTCCGTGACCTTTTGCTAGTAGTGCTGACAGGGCTTTCGCTAAAAATGTGCCCAACACGAGTAAACGCGTCTTTTGCACCCCTTTCCCTCCGGCATGTTTACTTGATGGTTTTTATTGATGTTTTGAAACGAACGAGAAGAGGGCGGCAAAATACAGGCGGCCCATGGGCAGCAAGTAGATAAATCCGGCCCATGGGCGGCAGGTAGGTAAATTCGGCCCTGTTGTTTATATGAATTTTGAGCAAAATTTACGTAAAAAATTGATTTATCAGGATTATTTTTCTTACTTAAAATTAACGTTCTTTTTCATATAGTTTATACGTAAATACATTTGCTCGTAATTTCCAATGCTTTTTACGAAATTTTTATGTAAATTTCATCGTTATGTAAATTTGACTTCCTTTTCCGACTTTTTCCTTTTTTCGTGTTTTTCTGTGCGAAGGCTGCTTCTAGGGAAGCCATTTCTTGAATATTTCTCACTTGATTTTGAAGGTTTATGTTTTCCTAACAGAACGCTGCAATATTCAATACTATGACGTGTTTATGGGGTTGAATTCTTACGATGACAACTGGTGTCATGATGTTTCACTCCATTTTTCTCCTTTATGTTAAATTGATTTAATTGAAACTCTACATTTTAAATGAATTTAAGTGACCATGATTAGTTAAAAAGAAACAGATGTAAATCTAGGTAATAGTCAAAAACAGAAGGAATTGTGTCCTGACCTTGATAATTCCGTTACTTAGCTCTGAGAAACCAAGGAGAAATAAATTCTAGAGGTGAGTTAGTGTAATAGAGGATCGAGTAAAATACTCAAAAGCGAAAAAGTAGTGCACACTCATTAAAATCAAGGGAACTCTGTAATAAACCTGAGTAAAACAGAGAGAAACTCTAGAATAAGCTTAGGCAAAACGGAGAGACATTCTATGATGAAATTAAGTATTAAAAAAACAGAATGGTGAAGAGAATTATGTAAAGGCTTTGCCAGGTGATTTTAGGGAACGGAAGAAAGCACTCAAGTCAATCATTTCTGGCAAAGTTTTACAATTGATAATGAAACCGCTGCAGCAATTGCGTCAGATGTTAGAGCTATCCTGCAAACAGTGCAAACGAATCCTGAGGTTAAAATCCACCAAAAAGTTCCTTGATGATTTAAAATCCAAGGCTTAGTGCCCTCCCCCGCCTCCTGGTTTTGATCTCTTCTGTCAGCAAAGCAGCGTAGTTTTTTTACTAAATACTTAAAGGTAGCGAGTAGGCTTCAAGCGGGAATGCTTCCAGAGTTTAATACCTACCTCAATTTTTACTTGATTTTTCATAAACTTCTCTAAGTAGTAGAAAAAATTGTTCGTATTAATAAGATTCACGACGTACTTTGATAGGGAGTGAGGTGAAAAAGCCGAAGTGCTGTACTGCTTAATTCAAATTGGCTCTAAAAGTTATGCTCCCTTCTGCAACAAGTTCTTTATATTCAGACAACACCAAACACTTATATTTTGACTTTATTTTATATCCTGTTTCTTGCAATATCACTGACTCCATTTAAAGAGGTCCTCATATTGTAATACTGATTGAAACAATACGGTCATGAAAAATTTAAGGTCCCACTAAACTTTCTAGAAATTGATGCCTTTTCAGAACAACTCCCTTCCATTGTCATATTATTTTTGTTTCAGCTTAATCAATGCTTCAAGATTTATCCTAGAACCTAAGTAAAAGACATTTGAAGACAGGTGTAAGGATTTGGAGATGCTGTGGTTAATGTTGCGATTTCTTGCTACAAGAAAGACCTAGGTAACATTTTTGGAAGGTGATTGATGATTCAAGACATGGTGACACAACAGTCTGTTTGCATATAAAAATCAGGAGGAAGTAGGTGAAACTTAGACAACAATTTTCTCATTTAGAAGTGAGTATAAGGTTTTTTGATTAGCTCAGCGTGTTTTCATAGAAAAATACATATAGTGCTATTATAATGTTGAGAAAGGTATTAGCAGTAACCACATTGTCTCAGCTGTATAGCACTAAGAAAAGTGTAATTTAAATAATTTGTGAATTGTACAAGTTTGGCTCTGAAGCGCATAATGAGAGTATCAAAGTAGTTTTATGGAAAGAATAATTTCTTTTATATTTAAACAAGAACATACTTGTACATTTTTTTCTCATTTATAGAGCTTGATATTGAAGCCAGAATTGGCCAGAAACTTCAAAAATTTGTATCCCATGAACTGCTCGCCTGAGGGAGGGGGCTGCAGTTTCTCAGAAATTGGTTTCCAAGTGAGACTACCATGCAAAAAAAAAAAAGAATAAGAAGAAAAATGGAAAAAAATGAAAAAATAATCATACCGATCCAAGGAGGTAATTGTCTGAGCCCAATCAGTAGGTAGAGGATGACCTTCCGATCATTTATGTGAATACTAGTTCTTCTCCTGTTTTAGTGCACCTGTAATATTTTATTTTTTTCCAGAGAGGGCTTGAAGAAAAAAAGGGTGATGGTAGTGCTTCTTCTCCCTTCGCCAGCAACTGAAAACACAACCAATGACAATAACTAACCTTATGTAGGGTATCGGTAAGCTGATTGTAGAATCCTGACCTCATTATGAGCCATTACAAAAGAATATCTTAACAAAAAAAGAGATGGCATCTCCTTCGTGTGAATTCATAATATTTATTTTCAACTCAGTTAAACAAAAAATTTGATCAATCGCATACTACCCACAGCCACAAGAGTCAAATGGAGATAATAATTTGTTAAAACTCAAAATTGTAATTTTTGGATACAATACATGATATTTTGTACTTACTTTGTGAACTCCTCTTAACTTGAAAGCAGCAGAAATGTCGTTCATTCGCACAGAACACGATAAATTAAAAACACAAAGTAACTTCCCAAAGTTCAATAAAGTCAATCAAAAGTTTCCACAGTAAAACCTAGTACCCAAATTCTTTTATTTTAGCTGGATTTTGACTGGTGCAGTATTGCCTTTGGTTATTTCCTAAGACTATATAACATCATGATGCCGAAACCTAAATTTTCCAAACGTGGTAATTAATCAACATAGTCAACTCAACCATGACTTTAATGATAAAGAATTCCATCTGGCAAAATTGAGACGAAAGGCAGCAGAACGAGTTCTTGAAATTTAAAGTCATAGTTCAATGTTATAGGGTTGGTTCAAATAACTTTTAACGATTTTAGACTTTCTTTTCTTACTCTAGTAAGGATCTATAAGTAGTCAGGATCTATCCTGAACGACAACTTAAATTCAAGGAAAATAAGCATTTAATGTTCCTAACCATTTTTTACCATCCAAACTCACTAGAACACATTGTATATATGAAAAATTTAAAGAGCATCACCTTCAAAAACTAGGTTCTCCTTCGATTTAGCTCTTTTTGTATGGTCTATGGGTAAGGACAAAACTAACTGTTTCTGTACATGATGCTAAAACCTAAATTTTCCAAAGATGGTAAGTAATCAGCATAGCTAACTCAACCATGATTTCAGCAATGAAGAATTCCATTTGGCGAAATTGAGATGAAAGGGTACATGGGTACTTGAAAGTAAGTCATGGTTCAATAGTTTTATTTCCCCTGAGGATCGAAACTCCAGTCCCCTTGCTTGGTTTGAAGTCTTGCCAGTACTTATTACCAGGGATTATCCAAAGAGATAGACTTAGAGCCTAAATTTTCAGGAATTCAGAAAAAAATAATTTGGCTGAAAAAATAAGAAATATTGGGATGGATTGTCTCAAAACAAAAACACCTGGGTGAAATTGGACACAACCTTCACAGAAAAAATTAAATTGCTAAAAAAAGTGACTGCAATATTTCAACGTAGATTTCACAACACAAAAGTGCTACTTTAACCACCCCTATGATTAAATTAGCTCACAATAGCAGTGGTTAAAGTAGCATTTTTGTGTTGTGAAATCCACGTTGAAATATTGCAGTCACTTTTTTTAGCAATTCAATTGTTTAATCAGCAATTTGATTATTTCCATGTTGCTTTCATTGAGGCTTAACATTTTTCGAATGATAAAAAGCAAGCACGAAAAAGGACTCAGCATGGTGGTTACAGTGAGCCAGGTTTTGACCACCTGTTTTACTATGACCAAAATGCAGGGTCTTATTTCATGCTTACTGTTTTTTATTCATAAAATTTGAAAGTCTCAATGAAAGCAAAGCTATGTCCAATCACAGCAAGGTATTTTTGTTTTGAGACTGCACATCCCAACTTCTCACACTTTTTCAGCCAAATTACCTATTTCTTTTTGGGCTAGATTTTGATTGGTGCAGTAATGCTGATGGTTATTTTTAGAAGACCATGATGGTGAAACCTAAATTTTCCAATGATATTTTATCAGCATAGTCAACTCAACCACGACTTCAATGATAAATAATTCCATTTAGCGAAATTGAGCTGAAAGGCACAAGCAAGGGTTCTTGAAAGTTGAAGTCATAGCTCAACATTATAGGGTTGGTTCGAATAACTTTTAACGTGTTTTAGACTTTTTTTTCTTACCGTAGACCCTGAAAAACAACTTAAATTCAAGGAAAATAAAGCCTTAAAAGTTCATACCCATTTTTAACTGTCAGACCTCTCTAGACCACATTATAGTCATGATAAATTTAAAGAACATCGCTGTGAAAAGTTGAGTTTTCCTTAGATTTAGCACTTTCTGTATGGTCTTTAAAGTAACGACAAAAAGTGCTAAATCAAAGGAGAACACAACTTTTGACAGCAATATTCTTTACATTGATCATGAATCATGTGGTCTAGTGAGTTCTGACAGTTAAAAAATGGTTATGAACATTGAAAAATTTTAGTTCCGTGAATTGAAGTTGTCGCTTAGGGTCTATCAGCCCTAAGGAAAAAATTCTAAAAGTTGTTTGAACCAACCCTATAATATTCTCCCAGAGAATTCACTTTCAAACGGTAATACTTCATCAACATTAACATCACCCATTACTAAATCATCAAGATCCCATTGGGCAAAATTGAGCCGAAAAGCACCAGTTTGGATTCTTGAAATTTTGGCCACAGTTGGTTGCTTATTTGCGATATTCAACCGTGACTCGATGATAAAGAATGCCATATGGCGACATTGAGCCAAAAGGCACCAGCGTGGGTTCTTTACATTTTGGTCACTGTTGATTGCTAAACGCTACCAAACTATGGCTAAATGATCAGAAATTCCATTTGGCGACACGAGGTTAACACTCTTCGAACATCTGAGGTACCTACCTATGGGTTCTGGAAATTTTGCCTACAGTTGGTTGCTAAACGCTACTTAACAGTAAATGTTCAACAGTCACTTGATGATAAAGAATGCCATATGGCGACATTGAGCCGAAAGGCACCAGCGTGGGTTCTTTACAATTTGGTCACTGTTGATTGCTAAACGCTACCAAACTATGACTAAATGATCAGAAATTCCATTTGGCGACACGAGGTTAACACTCTTCGAACATCTGAGGTATGGGTTCTGGAAATTTTGCCTACAGTTGGTTGCTAAACGCTACTTAACAGTAAATGTTCAACAGTGACTTGATGATAAAGAATGCCGTATGGCGACATTGAGCCGAAAGGCACCAGCGTGGGTTCTTTACATTTTGGTCACTGTTGATTGCTAAACGCTACCAAACCATGGCTAAATGATCAGAAATTCCATTTGAGAAAAATTGGGCCAAAATGCACCGATATCAATACCTCATATGTTACTTGGTTCCTCAAAAATTCTCCTCTTGAACTTAGCCTGAAAGTGTGAACATTTTTTAGCCTCCAGCGAAACCTAGAGTCTATACGGCTTCGCCGCACGACTAAAAATGAAGTCACTTAAAAGAACGCTTCTTCAACCACCACATTTGAATGCCATAGGTCATTATAGGTTTGACAACCGAGTTAAAAATTCTCTTTTTGCTGTGCTTGGAGATTCCTTGGTCCCAAAGAATCCCATTCAGCATGGCGATGGCTTTCCTTCCTTGAACCTATAGCGTCCAATTATTGTAACCGGCGAAATTGGCTTTACTCGACCCACCAAACATTTCTCGATACACTCAAAATAAATCTTAAACGTTAACCATTCTTCTAATGGTGAATGCAAATGTGCCGTGAGATCATCAATTTTCCTCAAAACTGTGACCTTTAGATCTCAAGGAAAGCGTGGGAAGGAGAAACAAGAGATCAACTTTGAAAAATAAATCTGTATATTCAAAACGTCACGTACACACATATCACATTACTTATCACAGATCGAAAATGAGGATGATGAACTGAGATGAATCAAGAACTCAGCCAGGAATCAGACTAAGTACATCATGGCAACAGAGTCATGACAGAATAAAAATAACAACATGGTCAACATGGCAGAATAAAAATATTTAAAAGCTAGGAGATCTGCCCTTTACATTCATTCAAATTTACTTGGAAATCATAGCTGATACACAGCAAATCACAAATCATACCTTTACATTGTTTGAAACAACGGGGTTTCGAAAATTTATGCAAATAAAAAAATGAAAGGGCGGTTTGAAAAATTGAGGCAAGTAAAAAAAATTGAAAGCGAAAATGACATTTTTCGGCGTGAATAGACAAATGTGAAGTATTCGTGACATGAACAATGTGAACTTTGAGGCGTAAGTTATGATGACGAAAAAAATTGTGCATAAATGGGAAATTATGAATACTGAAAAAAGATTTGCTATTTGATCCGAATTATGTTACTAGACCTTGGGAGCGAGTACGTGGTCTTGTGGATGTTATTGAAGCCGGGTGGCTGGTGTGGAGTTAAATTTGCTCTGTCTCATCACCTGAGTCGTCAAAATGGGCTCTGGTGTTCCAGTTCCTCGTTAAGTTGATGTTAGTAATACAAATTTTTGATAGGTCGATCGGAGCATTAGCATTGGACCTCGGCCAAAATTTACCGATAAACGGTAGACAATGGCAATTGCAACATTTGCAACAAAAAATGTACATAAAGAATAATATAAGTAAAAAAACGGTGAATGCAATGTACGACTGATAAAATGGTGAATGGGGTACAATGTGGGGTTTATTTATGCTTGACTGTAGGGTCTCTTGAAATTGATCGAGTTTATGCTTAGTATGTTTTAAGTCGTCTAAGTTAAGGCCAGTGATGCTAATGGGTTTCATGAAGGTTGGGTTTTTGTTAAGAAATTCGGATTGATCGAAACAGCAGTTGTCTAGGGATATGTTGAAGCGGGGTACAAAATTGGTGAAGTTTGCCGACGTGTTTGATGATGATGTCAATGCGGTGGAGAAGGTGTAGAGTTGACATCGAGGTCTCAAACTGAGCGTGCCGGAACCGATGATTTGTACATCTTGGATTTGGCCCGGGGCTTCATCACAAGAAATGGAGGCTGGAGTGGGGTTCGTGACGGTGAAGAGCCAGACGTTGGGTTGCAGCGGGTGCCAGATTTCCAAGTTAGCCTTCAACGTCCGAGTTAGGCAATCTGCCGGCATGGAGATTGGGCTTGCAAAAAGTTGAGTCTCGCATACGGGAACTTGCGTCGATGAGTAAGTCACCAGATCGGAGCAAATGTATTCTGCTCGACCGGTAACGGTGCATTTCTCTTTGTTCCTGAGTTGAGCATATTTCGTTCTTGTTGTGCTAATTAAGAGGTATGGATATTGGGGATCGATTATGGAGAACACATTAGGATTGGAGGTCAGGGCGGGCAACGGTAGAAGATGATACAAATTGTAGGAGGTTTCACTTACTAATGGAATTTTTATCGCAAAAATTAAAAGACCTTTTTCGAAGAAGGCAGAGAGGTTGCAAAGTGTAAAATACGTATAAATGTTATTAAAATCATGAGGTGAAAATGGCAAAAATAGGTTTGGTCTCAGTTTGATTTTTTCTAACTCAGTTTTGAGACCTTCTGGCGTGATGACATTAGGGTGAATGATTTTTTGTTTGATGAAAAGAATCGATTCAATGAGCACATTCAGTTCATCTCTTAGCTCAGCGATCAGAGTATTGAGCAAGTTTAATTGACGTAAAATTATACTCTGAATGAATTATTACGACAATTACACTCACCATTATTGTTGGTTGTTTTGATACTGTTTTCTGGATCTTCAATGAATTTAACGTTTCCAGTAACAATGATTTTGTTCCCTACCAAAATTCTGTATCCTGTGTCTGAGTACCCGATAAGTATGCCTCGTTGAGCACGTGATCCAAGTTTTGATGAGCTTCGTTTTGATTCTGGAATAAGGATAAATGCAACACTTCCACAGATTCTAAGGTTTGAAAAATCAGGTTTCTTATTAAAAAACAATTCATAAGGAGTTTTTTTTATGTCTGTGTTTGCTAAGGCTCGATTACCTAAGAATATAGCTGTTAGTACCAATTCAGGCCAAAAACTTTCATGGATTTGAGCTTCTTTCAATAGACATCTTGTTCTGCTCATAATGGTTCTATTGAAACGTTCTGCAACGCCGTTCAGTTGGTGGGTGTATGGTGGACATGAATTGAACCAAATGCCACGATTTTTTAAAAATGTTTGGAATTTATGACTCTCATACTCTTTACCATTATCACATCGTAATTCTTTAATTTTAAAACCAGTTAAATTTTCTACAAGATTTACATAGGTATTAAAACAGTCTAACACTTCATGTTTAGTTTTCATTACAAATACAAAAGCATACTTGGTAAAGTCATCAATAAATGAGATAAAGTACCTTTCATTACGATAACCAGGTGGATTGATAGGTCCATTGATATCACTGTGTACTATTTGGAGAACTTGATTTGCCCTTGTTCGATTATTGTTAAATTTTGGTCTGGTGAATTTACTTTCAAGACAAGTTTCACATTCTAGGCTATAAGGTTCTAATCTATCAGGAATTCCATTTGCTAATTTGTAATTGACTATGGTGTTTAAATCATTAAAGTTTATATGCCCTAAAATTGTATGCCATTTTTCAGTTAGAGTTAGCGAAGCATTTACTTCAATGGGTTTGTGCATCATTTTATTAAGTTGAACAGTGCAAAAAATTTTGAAAACATTTTTACTAAGTTTGGCAATACATTTGACTTCATTATTACTATTATAAATTTCAGCAAATTTTTTGTGAAAAGCTACGCTGAGGTCCATTTTAGTAATTTTGGCAATGCTAATTAAATTTTGTTTCATTTTGGGAGCACAAAAGACATTACTAATCATTATGCTGATTTGTTAGCCATACACATCACAAAAGAAACGCACTCTCCCAACCTTATTAGCGACTACTTCGTTGCCGTCGGCTACAGTAACACTGATTGGTTCGTTTAGGATTGAGAAGTCAAAGAAATATTTTTCATCGTTGATGATATGATCGCTACAACCACTATCGAGAGGGAAAATAATATTTTCAAAGGATAAGATATCGGCATGATTATTTGGAATTTCAAAAGAGTTTACCTCAGTGTGTGGGGATGAATTGGTTTGCTGAGAATAGTTGGATTGGCTTTGATAACCTCTGCCTCGACCATTTGAGTATCTCCATCGACCAGTATTTTGTCTGGGATTGCGGTTGTAGGTTTGTCCTCTTGAAGGTTGAGTGCTGCTTGATGGCTGTTTTTCTTCGTAGCAATGATAACAAGTTGAAGCTTGATGATTTGTTCTTTCACAGATTTGACATGGAGCTTCTTCCGACCTTAGGGATGAATTAGAGTACCTTGGTTGTCCTCTTGACCCTCTTCTTGGATATCTGGATGATTGATGATCTCTTCTGGCTTGATCCGTTGGTTTGCCTCTTGGGTTTTGGAATTTCTTGGTGACCAGAGCTTGCATTAGTGTTTCAGTGGAGCTTTCAAACGATGCTTTAAGTTTTCGCTTTAGATAAGTGGAGTTTCTGTCTGCTTGAGGAATTGCGTCGAACGTATCTGCAATGTGGCTAAGACTGGGTGGTAAGGCCAATAGCAGGTAGTTCACTTTCTCTTCCTCGGACACATCAACACCGGCAGATTTGAGGTTATTGATTGCTTTCTCAAATTTCTCGAGAAATGGTTCTGAATTTTCATTTTCCACAAGTTTAAGCTCAAGCAATGACCGTTGGGCGATGAGCTTTTTGGCTCTAGTTTGGACCGCATACAGCTGATCAAACTTGGCAAGCATTAGTCTGGCAGATGCTTCATTCTTGATCACTTCTAGCTGGGTATCATTGACACTGTTAATGATGAAGTTTACAGCTTTAAACTCTTGAATAACCCAATCATCTTCATCTTGTGTGGTTGGCAGCCCTTGTCACCTGTCATGGCGCCAGCCACTGCTCTCTCCTGATTGGCGGTGAGTATTCACGACCACCTTTATCATTATCCGTTTGGGCTTGGGCCACGCCGGCCGCCCTTTTCGTGCCGTTTTCCGTTCGTTGTATTTTCTCACAATACACTCTTATTTGTATCACCATATTCGTGTATTTGTTCGTTCCACCCCACCACATCACATGGCGACGAGGATAAACCCGGTTTGAAGTGAAAAAGTTCGGAAACTTTGTGCGTGATGCTCAGGGCCAAACGGATACCCCGGGTAACAAAATGGCCGCACCATGCGAACTTTTGAATCGCTATTTTAAGTAATTTCGGTATGAAAATCGTGAAATCGTGTTTTAAACACATCTGAACTATCTGTGATATTAGCTTTTAAAGTTGTTTTAACCCTTTTAAATTTTCAATATGTTGGCGCGGACTCTATAACTCCAACAATTCTTCAAGTGTCGGTGGCCTAAAGCAAGTACTGTCAATTTTAATTTTTCAATCTATTTCGGTGATCCTGTGTCGTATTCCTTGATTAATTATGTCATCTAACCCGAAAGTTAAGCCTCCCCAGTGCTTCCCGTTAGATCAGCACTTGGAAACCAACTGGAAGCGGTTCAAGTCCCGCCTTGAGCACTACTCAGTGGCTATCAAGTTAGCGGAACAGGACAAAGCAGTGCAGGTGGCGATCATCCTGAACCTTTTCAGTGATGAAGTGTACGACCTGGTTCTCACGTTAAAACCAACTGGTCTTGATGATGCGGCAGCAGTCATTAAAGTGTTGGACGATTACATCAAACCGAAGCGCAACCTAATTCATGCTCGCTTCATGTTCAACTCGCGCAACCAACAAGAACTGGAACCATTTGAGTCCTTCTTTCTGGACATCCAAAAGCTAGCTGAAAAGTGCGAGTTTGGCGACCTTAAGAGCTCCCTTATTCGTGACCGTGTTGTAATCGGCATCACCGACCAGAAACTACGGGAGAGGCTTCTAGGCGAAGAGAAATCTTTGAATGAGGTGGTCCAAATCTGCCGTGCTGTGGAAGCTGGACGAAGCAGAGCTAAAGATGTTAAGCAACCTGGTGCAGTGGCAACATCATCTGAAGTATTTTCGGTGGCAAGGAAACCAGCCGAGCAGAGTGGTCCAGGGAAGGGACGCTTTCAGCAGAAGCAGCAGAACAACTCATGTCAAAGCTGTGGACACCGCAATCAACCGAATCAATCTGGTAACCGTCACCATCAACAGATCTTCAAGACACCATGTCGTAAGTGCAATACAACTCACAAGTATGGTTGCTGCCCAGCGTTTGGTAAGAAATGCATTAATTGTAACGAATCTAATCATTTTGCCAGCGTTTGCCCCAAAGTGAAGAAACAGGTTGATTTTTGTAATTGTATTAATGATTGTAGATGTGTCAGTGATGAGTATGTTGTAAACATTTCGGTTGTTTCGGCTGAAGGCCTCAATTCTAGAGATGGTTTGAAACTATTTATTGCAATAATGTGCCAGTTAAACTTAAAATTGACAGTGGAGCCCAAGCAAATGTGCTGCCTGTAAGTGTATTTGAGCAAATCGCTCACAAAAATGATTTGTTGCCTACCAAGACGGTCATTGAGACGTATGGAGGTTTTATTATGGTTTTATTATGGTGTATGGCGGTTTATGGGTGTAAGCCGCTTGGTTGTGTGAATGTTAATTGTGCCACAAAAAGTGGGCAACAAACGGTATTATTTCTTGTAGTTGAGAATAAGGCGACTCCTATTTTGGGCCTCAGCACATGCTTAGATTTAAATCTAATTAAACGAGCAAATGAGGTAAAGCTACAGGCTATTTCTGAATCTGATCCATTGTCCGTTCTGAAGCAATTTCCAAGTTTGTTGAAAGGCCTTGGCCAGTACCCAGAGTTGACTGATATTAGAGTGAGAGCGGGAGCATATCAGATTCCGAGACCACCTAGGAAGATACCTTCAAAGCTGCACGATAGAGTCAAAAGTAAACTAGACGAGCTAGAGAATTTAGGGGTAGTTTCAACAAATGTGGGAAACGTGGATTGGTATAATGATTTAGTCATCGTTGAAAAACGGGATGGGTCTATTCGTATTTGTCTCGATCCTTTTGAACTTAATAAAGTTATTATCAGGCGCCCATGTTATGTGCCGACACTTGCGGAAATTAAAGAGAAATTAATTGGAGGTAAATGTTTCACGGTGTTTTTTTTTTTTTTTTATTAGTACTTTAAATAATAGTACATGAAATACACTTTAGATATATAAAATATCTTTAAAAGCTAAACTTAATTGTTAACTGAAAATTAACTTAAAATTAAACACATTTTAACTGTTAAAATAATACTACCTCTAACAAATGAGGAGAGTAACAAAAACATGATTATTTCTGCAATAAAAAATGTCTTTTTTCTTTAATTTGAAATTGCGGACAACCGTTACCAGTCAAAGTCCCAGTCCTCCTGATTGTGTCCTAAGAGCACAGGGAGGCAAATATTTTAAACGAAAGAGAATTTTGTGAACCCCTGAATTCCAAGCTCATGGGGTTTACGTCGTTTGAGTCTTCGAATACATTGGTCCCATTCCAAGAGCGCAAGCGCTTCTGGATTGGGATGCCTATGCAGACGAGTCTCATAAGAGTTGTACAATTTAGTTATGTACTCCTCTACAGAATCAATATTGAGGTCAGCGCGAATATCAGCGTTCCTCTCGTACCAACGAGCTTTAACAATGCTTCTAAGAATCTTCATTTGCATAATTTCTATCTTTTCTAAGTTTGATTTGGCTGCGCAACCCCACAATTGGCAGCCATAACTCCAAACTGGCCTCAACATTGACTTGTAGAGGAGCAATTTGATGTGTAAGGATAACTTCGATTTACGGCCTAATAGCCATTGCATATCATTAAATTTAAGTTTCAATTGTGCAACTTTTTTCTTTATATGTGCCCCCCACTTGAGCCTGGAATCCAGGTGAAGGCCAAGATATCGAGCGACGGTGTCGCGAGGAATTTCCTTTTCTCCTAGGAGAAGTGGAATATGAGTAAAGGGTCTGTTGGTAAAGACCACCTCAATTGATTTTGAAGCATTTAGTTTAGTCTTATCTTTGCTTGTCCAGCGGTGAATTTTATTTAGGTGGCATTGTGCGTTATGTCGTGCCTCCCTGTAACTCTTGGACGCTGTTAACACGAGCGTGTTATCGGCGTATACTCCCAGTTTTCCCCCTCTCCCAGACTGTGGGATGTCTGTGGTGAAAAGGGAATAGAGAAGGGGGGAAAGGCAGGAACCCTGTGGAACTCCTGCCCTAATAGGTCTGAAACCCGAGGTAGTATTTTCATACCTTACCCGGAAATGTCTACCTTTGAGAAAGGATGACAAGAGCTCCACGTGGTTACAAGGGAGCATTTTATAAAGCTTTTCGATGAGACGCTCGTGCCAGACGCGATCAAACGCCTGCGGTACGTCCAGAAAAACTGCCACGCAGTATTCTCTCCTCTCAAGAGAATCCTCTATAAATTTAGTAACACGGTGTAGTTGGTCCACCGTACTGTGTTTAGCACGGAAGCCAAATTGTGCATCTATAATCAAATTTTGTTTAGAGACAATTTCGTTTAATCTTTTTATATAGAGCTTCTCAAATAATTTGCCTATTACTGGCAGCAAGGAGATAGGTCTATAAGATGATGCTTCAGTGGGGGGCTTATCTGGCTTTAAAAGAACGAAAATTTCA